AAATAGGGGGACCCCAGGGTGGGAATACTAATAAGAAAACCTTAACCAAGTACTGTTCTGAATGGTGGCCCCTCTATAAACTAGGGGAAGGAGCAAAGTGGCCAAAGCATGGATCATGAGACTATAATATCTTACTACAATTAATGTTGTTTTTGTGAAGGGAAGGAAAATGGGATAAAGTAATTTATGCCAATATGTTCTTTGCTTTGAGAGAACATCTGGAATGGCAGAGAGAGTGTGGCATTAATTTGGCACTGTGAGATCCATTTGTTCTAACTTTAGAATGAGAGAATCTAAAAGAAATAATAGGGAAGCTTAAACGATGTTGTTCAGCACGTTCTATAGGACAGAGGTGTTTGAAATATAAGAACAGTGAACTAGAAAGTGGAATTGATGATTATGTAAGTCTCTTTGGAGAAAGGGCAAATGAAATAGCAGAAGAGGGGGCTTCCATCCCCCCTCAGGGCTGGTAAAAGATGAGGACAATAAATTTTCTTCATCCTCAGGACAGCAAGAGAGGGATGGAGAAAGAGGAAGAAGAAAAACTTCTCTTTCCCCATCCTTATCTCCTCTGAGCAGGCAAACATGCAGCAAGACAAGGGTAAAATCTGTTTCACCACACGCAGGGGCCAGACAAATCATACAATCCCCTTTAAGAGAAGCTGCAGGACCACAAGGGCCTATAAGGCTTAAAGATAATTTCTCTATGGGAGATCTAGAAAATTGGAAGAATATTGCTCGTAAATATAGAGATGACCCGCTTGGGGTAGCAAAGAAGTTTAAAGCATCTATTAAGTCTTTGGATCCAGACTGGGATGATATCGACTTGATGCTAGATGCCTTGACAGAAATTGAAAAGGAGTTAGTATTAAAAGCAGCAAACACATACACACAAACTACGTTAAAGGCTGATGATAATTTAAATATTTTCTTTCCACAAGACAAACCATGTCGATAATCCCAACCATTATCAACTTCTTCAGAATTACTGGGGTTGGGTGTCTTAGGGAATGGAAAATGCAGTTCCCAAAGCTGTGAATTGGGGTTCTCTTTATGCAGTAAAACAAAACATCGGAGAAACCCCCACTGAATTTCTAGATCAATTAAGGGAAGCAATGCGAACTTACATCGCCCTGGGCCCATTAAGGAATCAGGGCAAACAGCAGCTAATCTCACTGTTCTTGGGTCAGTCCTCAGATGTCATTCGACGCAAATTACAGAAGTTAAAGGCTGAAGATCAGAGTAATATTGAAAAATTAATTGAGGAGGCGTAGCAAGTATACAGGAACAGGGAAGGGGTAGAAAGACAGAAATTAGGTAAAACTATCACAAAGGCAACTATTGCCGCCCTGGATAGGAAAGACCCTCACTCTGGAAGACCTGGACGACACCCTGGAAACAGTGATTATCAAAAATTGAGACCAAACCAATGTGCCATTTGTAAACAAAGTGGACACTGGAAAAGAGAATGCCCCCAAAATAGATGAAAACTTCCTTTGGTGGCAGAATTAGAACAGGACTAAGAGGGACCGGGGGGTTAGCACTCCAGAGACCCCCTGGTTATAATGGAACTGGGGAAAGACAAACAAGTTCCTTTATATGCCTCACGCACCTAAATCACTTTTAGGACGGGAATTTCCAGCCGACTGGACTTAAAAGAAACACCGTTGCCTGAGACAGAAACATGGTTTACCGACAGAAGCAGCTATGTGAAAAACGGCACCCACAAAGCTGGATATGCAATAACAACCACAGATCACATCATCAAAGTGCTGGCACTCTCTGCTGGCACTTCTGCACAAAAGGTAGAAATTATTGCACTCACCAGAGCATTGCAATTAGGAAAGACAGTAATATTTGGACAGAATCGAACTATGCCTTTGGGGCAGTTCATGCTCATGGAGCAGTGTGGAAAGAAAGAGGGCTGCTCACATCACAAGGAAAACAGATAAAGCATGCAGAAGAAATCCTAAAGCTACTCGAAGCTGTCCAATTACCAAGAAAACTTGCCACTATGCATTGCAGAGGATATCAAAAAGGTAATACAGACCAGGGAAAAGGCAGTTGACTGGCAGATCGAGAGGCGAAAAAGGCAGCAGAAAACAGCCAGGTAGGACTTGTCTCCCTAGTCCCTGATGGCAAAATCATAGAGGTAAGCTCTAATATATCATATTCAAAGGAAGATTTAAAATTAATAAAAGATCAGCAAGCTCAACTCAGAGGTAACATGTACCAGTTAAAAACAGGACAAGTAGTAATACCTGAAAGAATACTATGGAAAGCTGTACAGGCAGAACATGACAAAACCCATTGCGGGGCAGATTCGTTGCATAAATACCTAAGGAAACAAATTATAGAACAAAATTTATACACTACAATAATCCAGGTCACTAAACATAGCAAGACTTGCCTCCATAATAATCCCCACACAACCAATAAAATAGAGATAGGGACGACTGGCAAGGGTAACCTCCCAGGGCAATGCTGGCAGATAGATTTCTCAGACCTGCCTAGGAAATGAGGTTACAGATACCTATTGCTCTTAACAGATACTTTCTCAAATTGGCCAGAGGCTTTCCCGACCTGAAGCAATAAGGCTCGAGAAGTTGTCAAGATGCTACTTAATGAAATTATCCCCAGGTTTGGAGTACCTGACATCATCTCCTCAGACCAAGAACAACATTTTGTAGCTAGTACTATACAAAAGATTAGCAGCATTCTGCAAATTGATTGGCAGTTACACACTCCATATCAACCACAGGCAAGTGGTCAGGTGGAGAAAATGAATCATTTGATAAAACAACAATTGGTAAATATCTGTCAAGAAGTGAATCTGCATTGGTACCAAGCCTTACCTCTAGCTTTATTGTGAATAAGGGTCAAACCTAAGACTGAAGAAGGGTTAAGTCCTTTTGAAATGTTATACAGGAGACCCTATAGGAATTATTATCAAGGACAAGACTTCACACAAATTGGGGAAAGATATATACAGAAATATCTGATCTCACTGAGTAAACAGTTGTCAGAAATTAACAAACAAGTAATGAGTACTCACTCAAGGGGAATAGACCCACCCTTACAAAACGTTTCCCCTGGAGAGTAGGTGTATGTCAAAACTTTTTCAGGCCAACCACTAGATGAGAAGTGGAAAGGACCATACCAAGTGCTTCTGACTACCTTCACAGCAATCAAAATCAAAGACTGGAGAACATCATTGGTGGAGCACATTTCTGGGAATAACCAATAAACAATCACCCACTGCAGCTGAGCTGTTTAACTTCCTGGTCCACCTTGTCTTGGTCTTGATGCTGACAGCATTCCTTCTGACAATCATCAATCTATGGATTGGGTGGAGGATTAAGACTATAGCACAACAAGTACATGTGCTCTGGACTGTACAAAGGGTGATGAAAAAGAATTTGCATTAGTTTAAAAAAAAAAGGGGGAATTGAAATAAAGGCAAGTTAAAATACAATAGAATTTAGCTATGTTAGTAAAATTTGGCTATGTTAAGTGCGACTTTGCAAAATTGTAACTGCTTGAAAGAAGGTTGCTGCCCAAATTGTGGGCAATTAAGATAAAGCTAGTTTCCATAAACAAAAGGGACTGTCAGGGAAAGCAGGAAAGACTTTTAGCATGTAGCATCACAAGGGAGACAGAAGAGGGGTGGGGGAAACCTAAGTTGTTTGAAATGATAAAAATGTATGTAACTATAGTAGTAAGAATAGGAGTTAGGCATCAGTTATACTAGGTACATGAGCACTCCACTAGGTTAACCATAAAAAACCCCACAAACTTATTTTAAGAATACAACCTGAGTGTAGTCTAACTCATTTGTGAAAAAATGTTTTCAATTTGCATACCCCAGTATTTCAACAATTCTCACAAAAACAACACAACAGGAATAGTTTAAGATAATACAGAGTTTTTTTCCCCTGTGGTGAATGGCATCAAGGGAGAGTTTAATTTCTATTTTATTTCTACTAGGCTTCAAGCTTACTGCAAGGCATCTGCACCCTACTGGGAAAAGCTGTTTAAGTCTATGCTGAAAAAAAGCCCCTTTGAAAATCACTGGGCAACCGCTTTTAGCACACTCTTTCCACATCTGTATCAGCTGTGTTGCTAGTTAATCAAATAATCTCAAGCCCATCTTTTTATGCTTATTTCTCCCCTTATAGAGGGAGAAAGCTTGTCTTCCTTAAAAGGGCATCAAGTGCATATTTGTGCAGCAAAACATACAGACAGTTCAAGAATTAAGACTGCCTACTTTCATTACATATCCGATGATGTTTTAAATAAATGCAGCATAATTAGCTTCCAAGAATTGTTTCCGTAAATACAGAAGAGAAAAATTTTGCTCCTCCAGCGATTACTTCCCCTTGCAAGTCCCAACCCCCGAGAGGTCAACTAATATAACTCCCCTTTCCTGAAAGACGTTCACAGCATAGCAGACGCTATTTCCACAATACCACACCCGGTCGACGGCATTCAGAATGTAGCTCCTGGCCGCCACCCTGTAGCCAACGCGTCTGGGGGCGAGGCTCCAATTAACAGCCTTCTCGCGGTTGCCCCGAAAACACGTCAGCTCTACAGTCGCTCTCCCCAGCCCCTTTCCCACCGCCCCCGTAGGCCCCCGGAGCTAGGGTCGCCATATCCCGGTGACCTGCTCGGCTTGGCGGGTACGGCTGGGTACCGCCCCCGACGAAACTCAGACCCCCTGCTCCCTTCTCCCCCCCCATCCCTCAACACTCTGAGCGGGAAACAGAGCGGGACCAAGCCCGAACTAGGGCAGCAGCCCAGCCCCAAAACGCCCCCCAGCCCCGGACAGGCTTCAACGGTCACCTGACCCAAGCCCCAGAGGACCGGCCACCGTGAGGCGGCCGCGTCCCTCAGCCGGGAACTGAGACTGCTGCTCGGCCCAAAATACCCCCCCAGCGCGCTACCTCCCGCAGCCGTGCCACTCCGTGGGGAAGGAGAAGGCCCCTCTCCCCGTCACTCACCCTTGACTTTGCCGAAGGTACCGACACCGAGCGTATCGCCCAGGATATAGTGCCCAATCTTCACCCGTCCGTGTTCGTGCTTCTGCTTATCCGCCGCCGCCGCCATCTTGAGCCAAGAGCCGAGCCTGCTCGTAGCGCGCGCCCGCGCCACAGTACTAACGGAGGAGGAACAACCCACCCAAAACCTGGAAGTGAACTCAGCACTTATCACTTTCCTGCCCTCCCCAGGAACAAACCTTTGCTGTTCGGTGGGGCAGGGCTAGGTCGGCTTAGCGGCGCCCTGAGGGGTGAGGCTTCTGCAGGCGGGCCCTGCCGGCAGGTCAAGGCGGTGAGATGGGAGAAACAGTCCCCGAAGGTTGTGGGGCGGAGTGAGGGGACCGGGGCGTTTTTACGCCACCACCTTCCCCGAAAAATAATGGAGATTCGCATGGATTTCGGGACCGGGAGGAAAGGCGGGCGCAGGGCGCTTCTCAGCGGCGGTGACGGTTCCCCTCAGCACTGGCGCGGTGTGAGGAGCTGGCCTAGGCCTACTGGTGTCAAGAAGCAGCATCGCCTGGAAGCTGAAGTTCCCTCATGTTGCTGGCTGGCACCGCAATCACCCGCGAGGCCTGTGCCCACAGGCAGCAGGAAGCTAGAGCTAAGCGTTCCCCACAGCACGAGTTGCCCTTCCCGATGTTAAAGTGAGATGTGTCGAACATAGGCATACTTTTAATTGAGAAACCGTGATATCACAATGAGATTGATAGGCTGTCTGCATTGCCACAGCCACGGTGTGCCACTGCACACTGCAAGGACCGCCTGTGGAGAGCAGGCAGCAGTTCTTGCAGGGGTGGCAGCTGTACACCCACATGCAGGCCGGGTTTCAGGCACTAATAATGCAGTGTGTTGCATATCACAATTTAAAGGTCCATTCAAGATGCAGTTATTGCTGATATGCTTGGCTCTGCCAGCAATGCTGAGGGCTGATGGCCAAACCCATTTTGCCATGCCATGTGAGGAGTAGCATCCAGGCACAGGGAGCATACTGTTTCCAAACCACCCATGCTCAGTGGTGAAGAAAGGTCTGTGACATTTTAAGATGAAGCAAGCTGGGGCAGCCATGTTTTCATCTCTGCCTCGCTTTCACATAAGCAAACACCAGTCTGTTCCTTCAGTAATTCAAGAGCATAAGCGGCCAGAAGACCAGTCATACTAAAAAATGAGTATTGGGATCCTATGACAGAAAACAGCCACTCACAAAAAACAGACATGCCAAATTTCTGTATTTCCAATCAACCTTGTAAATTACATATGTTCGTTCTCTTCTCCCTTCTCCCTTCCTCTACCTAGGTCCAAATCCAGACCCTATTGTGGGAATATGAAGAGAATTAGGACTCTCTTAACTCCCACTACTTTGACCAGATAATCTATCTTCCAGTTTGTCTTGCTAACTCATTCATTCACATTGAATTTAGGGCTGTAGCCTTCCTTCCATTCATGCATTGTTTGGTTTCTACATATCAATGATCATATTCTTTTATTGTTGACTATAACTGGATTATTTTTTAATCGCTTTCCAACCCTACCTTCAAGAAAACAGATGAAACTGGAGTGACAATTGGATGAATATTTTTGCATGGAGAGATCATCAACTCGAGAGGAAGGTTACAAGCAACTCCCATCCCTTCACCTCCTTTCCCCTGTTCTCCAGACTAAGTGAATGATATAAACTAAAATGCTTTCTCTTGCCTATCCTAAGGATGTGTTTGGAAACAGATAAATATATTACAGAAACAATATAAAGATTTTTAAATGAGCAAACATCAGGAAGTTTAAAAACATTTTTTCTAGTAATAGTCCTAAATACATTCAGTATTCAGAGAACATTCAGTATTACTTATGTTACAGTCATGAATCTAACAGAAAGTTGGA